TAATCTTGCATGTTGTATCTTTAACAGACCCCTGGAAACATGCAAACTTTGGAAAATATTGCCTCTATTTCAGTAATACAAAAATGAAAACTTATGCTTTCGGTTTCCTAATGTGGTCAATCCATACTTTTCAATCCATTTTTGTTGTTTGATTTTGGGGATTTATTTTTTTAATTTTTTTTTTTTTTTTATTAGTTGTTGGCTGATGTTAAGGAATTCTCAACACCTACAAGTCTTGCTGACATCAGTTAAGATGCCCTAAGTAGTGCTGTCGGGAGCAGCATCTAAATTCTTAGATTCTTTCATGCCTTTTTCTGTTGATAAGCTATACTGTTTTCTTCCTTTTATTGGAAATTTCCGTGTGTGTGTAACATAAATGCATTATATACTTTGCATGTTCTTAAGTATTACTATGGCAAGTATAGCTCTTGGAGGGTTTTCCTTTCTGTCTTCCAGAAGACCTGCAGAAATATTTAATTTCTGATTAAAATCATACTTTGTAGCAAGATTGTTTAGGGGACCTCCCATGAAACCTCCAAAGTCAAAGAGTTTTCCATGCTTGTTGTATTAAGCTGCCGCTAATGCTGTGGACTTTTGTCCTGGAAATAAGTTCTTTGTCTTATGTTTTAATGTTATACAGTTATAGGCATAATCATACAAAATTTATTTACCCTAGGTTGTTATCCTAAATTTTGAAATTTTTAACTATTATGCCAAAACCAGTTCCTCTTTTATTCCTCTTTTAGATATTTTACATTCTGTGAGATTTTAAGATGCCAAGCATTTTTATATAGACTATTATGCCTAGACAAATTTTTCTTCAAACAGCAAACAAAAATGTCCAGTGCCAAGTCTGGTGGGTTTTTTTCCACCTTAAGGATCGTGTATCTTCAATTTATGCCTAATTGCTTTCTTTATGTAGCTCTCATTTATAATATACCAGAATGTATAACAGTATAACATTACAAAGAAACCAGGCATATTATGCAAAACTGAACTGCATTTATAGAGATCATGAATAATTTTGCTAATAGAAGTAATATAAAACAAGACTCTAAGTGAAGGATTTTGAATTTCTGTGAATTACCTTTATAAGGAAAAGACTGGCAGAGGTAAAGTTTTGTATGGAAGTGAGTGATGATGTTTTCTCTCAGCCTTTTGAGAAACAAAATATAAGTGAAAATAAAATATATTTATTGGAACGAGCTATCACACAACACTTAGTTTAGCTCTGATTGAATTATTCATAGAACATTATTTTGCCCATATGTGATAATCTGTTTTTATTTTATTGTTTTTAAGCTTTTCACAGAAAGTCCTTTTTGTTATGCTTTTGCTTTTTAGTTGTTTTCATGTAGCATGTTGAATATTTGCTGTTGTATTCTTGCTTGTTTGTATTAGATTTCAGTATTGTGAGGATGACTTGAAAGCTGTTAAACATGAGAAAAGCCTCAAAAAATTGGTGTGAATTCAATCTCTTCCTAGAAGGGGAAGTATCATGAAGAATGAAGTATTGTTTGTTCATTCGCGGGCAAAGAGAAATAAATTACTGAATCCAGGGAATTTAGGACATCATAATGCCTTTTTTCCCCCCTTCCTTTTCTTTCTTTTGGAAGGGAAGAAAGAGCATAGAACTTGTTTATACTGTGTACAGGAACACTGAAAATCTGTAAGGCATAATTGTTGACAACTTTGATAGATTAAATATTGAAATATATTTTGATACTTGAATTATGTGATTGCATTTGTATGTAAAATGTTAAGAAAAACTGTGGGCATCTCTGATATCTTTTGTTGCCTAATTAATCATCTTGTTAGAGGAACTTCAGGATAGTGTATTAAATGTTCTGCTTTTTTTGTAAAGTAGTACTTTATTAGTGAAGTATACAGAATGAATGTTTGAATTCCATTTTGTGTTGCACATTAATGATGCACTGCTCGTTCTAATTGTGAGTTCATATAATGGCAAGGTGTTATGCCTGTGATAACCTACATATAGCAGAAAATATGTATTTAGATTGTTATGCCATTCCTTCTTTTTTTTTCATTTTGATTGAGTGGTTCATCCCTTGTATCTGATGGAAGTTACTTATCTGATAATAATTATTTAATCTCTATTGGAGTAAAACAGTTGCTAGTGAGTGATGGACTCACTTTTGAAATACAACATTTGTAACCTTGCTATAGGAATTATATTTTCTCAGAGTACCAGAACATACATTGCATACACCAAAAATTTCTTAAGAATGCGTGTATCATGTTTCCGTTTTTCTTGGGTTCTTTTTGGTGATAAAAGAAAACTACCAAGCAGCAGTGTCAAAGCCATATATCCTTTACTAATGGAGACTGATTTACAGGTTATTCTTTGTGCTCTTGGCTAGTAATAGAGAGCAACCTGTAGGCAGAATTCGTAGACAGAGTTTGTTGCATTTCAGTATGAGATTTCTTTGTACTTCTGTCACGTTCTCTTAAAATTTGGTAAGTAATAGTTTGCTCCTTTGGATTTTTACCTGTTTGAAAAACAGTCAATATCATTACTCAGTTTTTGGCAAAACTTTAAATCAGAGGCTGGAAATTATTTATCAGGCAGGTACTCGTAAAGCCAGGAATAGAACCCAGTGCATTTGTAACCTATTTTCCTGATAAAGTACAGTTTTTTGTTTACTTTAACCATACCTCTACAATAGAGCTTTCTAATGTTAGAAATACTTCTTAATAAAAAGGAAGACAGAATCTCTTGCCTTGATCACGTGATTCTAATAATGTAAAGCCAGGCCTAGTAAGAGATTGATAAGTCTTTGACATTTACATTCTCATAAATATACATATGCAATAAGAAACAAAGGTATTAAATAGATATATATATGTATAGCTGGTCTGCCTATATAGCAGTGTCCCTTTTGATTCCAAAGGCCAACAGTTTGCTGAGAGAACAGAAATTATATAAAAGTAGTTCCACATGGCCCTTCATGGACTCACTATATGGAGTAATTAGGATAAACCTTCTATGCACACTTGTTGCACCAGGCAGATGAGGAGAAGTTAGTGGTTGTCATTGGGTAAATGGTGTAAATTTGGGAAAAGGCACTACTTGGTAATCCCACATGATGTCCAAAGCACTTTCCAAAGTTGCCAGTATTTAGAAATGAATATAAAATGGGGATCTCGGTGTTCTGCTGGCTATTACTGAAGGATTAACTACTGTTTCATATTTATACGTTTTACCTTAGATGAAATACTTTTCTAAAAATTGAATATCAATGTTTTGTTGGATTTTTTCATTAGTGTAAGTGGTAAGAATACATTTCTTTCATTTCTGCAAGGTAGTTATTATTTTCCTTTTTGAAAAATATATCCAGAACAAAAAACAATCCCTTTACAAAAATTAAAAGTAATTTAGCCATTTTTCAAGTGCGGTTTGTTTTGCCTTGAATTTTTTTAAGGAATGTATCATTAGATATAGTACTGCTGTCTCATAACAGCTGGGAAATTACAACTTTAGAGTCACCATTTCTATAAATAATTTAAGAATACTTTTCTAAATGAGAAACTAAAATTTTTCAGCAAATCTGCTGAAGTTATGGTGAAGTTATGGAAATGGTGGCAAATTTTCAAGAAATTGAGGACTCTCCTTCATAGTTGTGTTAAATCTAGCATTCTGTGTTTGTGTTGTGTAACCAGTCACTGGAGAATGAATGTAAGAACAGCAAATAAACTGAATAGTGAAAGGCTTTTTGACCACTCTGTTTATGACTTTGATGGCATCCTTTCTTGATTTGTGTCCTCACTGAAGGCCTTATCACTGCTATAAATGAATATGAGGACAGTGTGGAGAACTCCTGGAGTGTGTTAAAGATAGATACTGTAAAAGATGGAATCAAATCAGCTTAAATAGAGATTTCCTAGAACTATGTTTTATGTCCAGTCCTTAATAATTGATATAAAGGGAAAACAATTATTTTTCACTTTAGAAATTTAGAAAGCTCTTAAATTGCATCAGTGAACCAAGATATAGTTCATCAAAAGAACAGAGATCAAATATGACAGTATTGGCTTTTTTAAGATACCAGAAAAGGAGAAAAACAATGAGCAAAAATTCTTTCAGGAGTCACTTGCATGTTGCAGGTGAAAATGACATAATTAAAACATAGTTAGATGGAAGCAGGTCATAGGTTTCATTAAAATCAAAGTGAATTTTTTCAAGTACAATTTCATATTAAGCGTTAATTTAATAAATTAGCGGAGATCAGTGACAGGTCAGTCTGGAATGCAAAGGGTTAAAATGCTGAACAGTGACCTGAACAGGGAGTTGTTGTGTCTCTGAATCCCAGACATACTTTATTAGGACAATCCAGCTGGTTTTCTATTTCTATCTCCTCATTATCAACACGCTTATGGTATGGCCTCTTCCCCCTCACTTCCAATGCCAAGAATTTGGCAGGGACACCATGTGAGGAGGTCAGAGACTGATTGAGAGGAAAAATGAAGTTCAGACTGCAGCCGAGATGCAGAAAAAGTGGGTCCAGTCGGTGAAGAGCTAAGGTTTTTTTGTTTGCTGTATGGAGACTACCAGCAGAGGTTTTTTTTTTTTCCTTGTGAGCAGTGATTACAGCTCTGTGTGAAATTAAACTACTGACAGGAGGTTTTGTTTCTGTCTTACTGAAAATGCTGTAAAATAGCAGTCAAGCTCAAGGAATTGCATATGTAAAATCAGTAGAAAAATGAATAAAACTGAATCTTTGCTTTCTTGATAATGTTTAGCATCTTTTTTATATTTTAAGAAGAAAAAAAGCTGAAATTGTACTATTTTTCTCTGGAAAGGGAAAGATTTATAAATAGAAGCCTCATAGTGTTAAATTTCTTTATGTGTTGGATCCAGCTTTCATTGCTGGGAGAAAAAAAAACAACTTCCAGCAAATGTGCAAAGGAAGGAAGCGGGATGAAAAAAGTATTTTTCACACATTTCCATAGTTTCAATTTAAATATATATATATATAAATATTACTGCCTTGTGACGCATAGTTTACATCAACAGGTATATCAGTCTAGTATTAATATTGAGGAAACCCTTTGAAGGATTTTTAGTGATGAAATAGAAAATAAATTTGGTGCTTTTTATGTCCAAAACCATGGATCAAAGCAGATGGAGAAAATACAGGAAGATTTTCTATAGTAGGTCAGTTTCAGTTGGTAACAGACCTATTTGTGTGTCTTCAAGACAATATGCAGTGCTTCATTTCATTGTGATATGAATTATCTCAGAATTGATCTGTGGTAATACTGTACTAAAAAATATTTTTAGTTCTCATTGTTTTCATGCAATGCCCCTTTAACTTAACTTAATGCCTGAATAGAAAAGTGAGTTTAATTTCTTGTGTGTGCAGGGAGATACTGATTTTGTAGTTCTTGCCTTCCTATAATTCCTATTGAAACAGATAGAGATTGTGTGCATAAGGAGTGCTAGGACAAATATCTTTGTCAGATATTTGATTTCCAGTTTTTTGCACAACTGATGTTAGTGGTGATCTCTGCATTTACGCTGTGAGGCTAATGTTGATGTTTGACCATGTGTTGCAGTTCAAAACTCTAAGACCAAGTTATTTCTCAGTGCCAGTGTTGAAATCCCGATTTACTCCTGGGGTATGAGCCATGTGGTTTAGAGGGATGTGACCCTTCAAAGATGCCCAAAGATGTTAAGTGTGTTAAAAGAAGAATGAACATTCCTAGAAGGCCTTGATGCTTAGAAGTTCTAAATTTCTTGTTAAACTACAGTGGGAGAATATTGTCCTGAGTAGCATACTGTCCTGAATTTCTTACAAGTGGTGGTGGTGGTGGTGGTGTTTTTAGGGCATTTGAAAACCTAGCACTGAAAGGAAGCAAAAAGCATGACTTAGAAACGGAGATTTACTCATGGGGTATGGGATGAGAGGGGATGAGGGAGTGAGAGAGAGCAAGAGAGACTTATTTTGCTGAAAGGGTGAACGAAAAGAAACAAAATTACTCTCACTGGTAAATTCAGGTACCTCCTTAATTGAACAACATGAGCACACAAGCGGGGTGCAGATAATAGACAAAGGAAAAAGAAAGGAAATCACTCTGGGCTGGGATTAGAACCTGGGGCTTTCCATATGGGAAAAATAATTTACACTTAAAGAGCCTATTCTCGTAAAGGAAGGGAGAACAGTGTAGTTGAGTTATGCTAGTAAAAAATATATTTCTGTATTAATTCGTATTTTTTTTAAGTACTATTTGTGCTTTTATTTTTATACTATTCACAGTAAACTCCTGACACTTCTGCCCCCTCATAGCAGACACCTAACAATGAAGCAGCTTCAATTAAGAAGCAGAACATCAGCCTCTGGCATCTTACTCTGTTGTTCCATCTTTTTTGCTAGGGAGAATTCATTTGTTTCTTAATTAAGAAAAACACCAATAGCATGAAAAATCTGCTTATGGTACCTGAATGGTAATTAGGTGAAAGGTAAAAAAGAAACACACACATACATTCCAGTAGCAGCCAAAATGAACTTGAGCTGATAAAAATGAACTAAACTACCCTTGCATAAATCGAGGCTGAGAGAAGTGTACAGTCATTATGGCTAAGACAATATGCAAACTATCTTCAAAGAAATCAAATTGCTAGAGTGTTTTCATTTGCATGTATTAACTATTAACATAATGAGGAGAAGTGACATTGGACCCGGATTGTGTGTCTGCTTGGATTGATAACTCTACGGCATCTGCAAACAGGCGCCCAAAAATCAGACTGGTAGTCAGATCAGTGTTGAACTCTGAAGTGTGTATGGGTTTTTGGGGGCTTTTTTTGTTGTTTGTTTGTTTGTTTGATTTTGCTTGTTGGTTTATTAGGGTTTTTTGTGAGTGTTGTGGATGTTTTTTAGTATCTGGAACCCAGAACACCATGCTGGGCTGTGGAGTGCAGTCTATCCATATATTTTCGTTCTTTTAAAATGTGATCCTTCTGCTACAAGCACTTCATACTTTCAAGGTAGATACCAATTTTGAACTTTTTTCCATTTTATGTATTCCCACTTATATGGAAGGATGACTGTTAACTGCATGTTAGTTTGGAGTTACTGAGTGTATAATTGCTTAGTGATTTTTTTTTTTTGTCTTTCAAGACTGTTCTTATATATTAGTGTCCTACTTAAACTGTCAATTACTGTGCTCATGAAGAGAGAGAAAGCTTAGAGAACTCAAAGTTTGGAGAAGTCAGTTACATTCTATTTTAAGTGATTACTTAGAACAATAGCAGGCAATGTTTGTGATTGCAATTGTTACCTGCTTACATACTGGGAATAGATTTAAATTGTTGATCAACATAGTACATAAGAACTTAGATAAATCTAGCAACTTCTTTTGTTAGAAGAAAAAATAGAAATAATTACAGAACTTGAAGATTTTTTCCAAATTAATCATAAAAGGAAGAAGCTGTAAACTAAATGCAATTTTTGTCTTTCTTTTCTTTGCCTAAAATCTTTATAAAGGGAAGTTACTTCTTGATATTTACAGATCAAAATTTCTAAAAGATATAGTTTTGGAAGAAGGTGAAATGGGATGGGAAGCAGACACATGCATTCTCAAAAACTCTGAATTTATGTCATTTGCGTAATCTGGGATGAAATTATTTTTTTGTTGTTGTTGCATTTATGTATTCACGCATATAGGGTATTGGTGTGATTTATATAATTTCATATTCTTTTCTTGAAGATTGTGACAAAATAGTAAGTACTTTTGCATGGCTAGAAGGAGTACATAAAATTTTGTCTGTGAATGTAAACCCATCTTCCAAGGGGGGAGGAATTCCCACGTGGTTGAGTGCTGGATGCATGTGTTTTTTCTCATAACCCAGGAGTCTGAGAGGTGAATTATGTGAAAACTTCTGTTTTTGAAAAGAATTTTCTTAAGGCAGCCCATCTGCGTGAGTAAAGGTATGGGGAATATCTGTTTAAATAGTGGTTTACATGTTTAAACTTGATACCATAAACAACAGACACTGATCTATAATAAAGGTATTATTATAATAACACAAACTTTTGCAGTTAATAGTAGCTCAGGAAGCATGTGTAACCCAAATAATTTTATTTTTTTAAATGTACTCGAATGCTCAGTAATTTCTAGAGGTATTGCAAAACTGACACTGAAGAATTATGATTAAATTTTTTTTTAGGTGGCTAAGTTTTTATTTTTACTGTGTAACTAAGAGGTATGACCAAGGAAGAAACACTGAAAACAAGTATTTTCTTTTTGGCAATTTGTGAAGGTTAGAGTAGGATTCCCCACAGCTCATGTGAGGCATATTCTAGTCTTGAGTGTATTTCAGCCTCAGGTCTGAGAATGAGTATATAACTAGCCATACTGCAGCTTGGTACTGCTTTTGTGCTTGAAAGAATGGTATAGGAAAATCTCCACAGTGTAGGAGTGGATGTGAAAATGCAAGAATTTGTTGGGGACAAATATCTTGTAATGGCCTATTCCAGGTTTCTGTAGAATAGAAGACTTTGTGAAGGATAATGTGAATTTCAGATTCTCTCTACCCATCCAGTTGAAATTTCCATTTAATGCTACCTTGAAAATCATTATGCTGAATTTCATTATTTTTACAGAGACTATCCTGGTATCATGGATCATGTTAAAAAAAAAAAAAACAAACCTCAAACCAAACAACCTGAACATATGAAAAAATAAAAATGTAGCTATTTTTATTTTATATCAATATGTTTTTATTTGCTGAAGATCTTACTTGAGGGCTTTTGCTTTCTTGTGTAGCAAAGATCACTTTCCAATCAAGTCAATAGTTTATGCTGTGTTGTTACGTTGTGTTGGGCACCTAATAATAATAATATGATTGATGTAATGATATAAATATCAGGATACAGATAGGAATTAGCTATGTTAGGTACTAGAATATGACATGACTGCCTTTCAGTTTTTAAATAAAAGTGGAAATTTAAGTATTGTAATGTATATAAGAAATCTATCTTTTCTCTGTATCCATCTCATGCATAAGAAATCTATCTTTTCTCTGTATCCATCTCATGCATAAAAGTCAAATGGTAAATGTTTAAAAATAATTGAAGAGATAGGTATTTAAGGATAAAAAATGTTTACTGATCTTTACATATGTAAAGCTTGAATATATTTAATAATTCTAACTAACATTAAATTTTTCTCAAAAATTCAATTTCTCATTTGCATGAAGTCCCACAGGGAAGTGTCTTCTCATTAATTCCCATAGGATAAGGAGTAAGTGTTCATTTTGTGTATGAGAAATTTTATCTCCCATTTTTCAAATCGAGAAATGAGACATCAGAAATAGTGCATCTATGTGTGTGTGCCTACATGGAGGATTAATAGGAGGATTCCAGAGAGCCTACTTTGAAAAACTTAAGAGAAGTTTTAAGATTTTTCTATGTCTTAATTGCATTTTGAGATTGACTGGGGGCTGGGGGCGGGATTTTCCCCCTCTACTACAGAATCTTGAATAATTTTGTTTGTTAATATTTATATCCTAGGTATATGCGAGATACCAAATTTCAGTAGACATGTCCTAATTTGAAGGCTTCATTTTCGTTCAGAAATACAATTGTATGTGGAATTGTTTATCAGTGCATTTTAGGATATTATACAGGGTTTCAATGACCTGGCTTTAATGAAAAGAGGTGTTCAAGGCTTACTTATTCCTTATTGCTATGCTAGTGTCTTAGGCAGGATTGATACATCAGAAATACTATCTGAAAGACCAGATCCAAAGAACCCAAGAAAGTTCTGGGATTTAGTCTCTACCTTTTGTTTATGAAAACTACTACACTTGTTGAAATGACCTGCTTCACCTTACGTTGCTTCTACTTGTGGTTTCTGGCTTTTTGATGTCTGGATAGGAGAACTGTGGAAAATATTTAAAGTTTGTCTTTTTAAAATCTGATGCTTTTTGCAGAGATCAAAGGCCTCAATTGTTTGTTTCAAAAAAAATGGGAGCAGTGGATAGAGCTGAATGGCCAAGTCTGTTGTACCTTGTAGGTCAGTCCTGGAGCTTGGCTTACAGGATCTGTGAGATGTTTAAGCTGGCTGGCTACCCACTCATGTCTAACGATACTCTTCTTCCTCACAGTGACATCTCTTTGGAAATACTGTAATGTCATAAAGAATCTGTTTCCATTTACTGAGAGAAGAAAAATATTTTTATGATTTTATAAGTCTGTTAATGTTCTTAAAACAGCATTGTAATTCAAGTAATGTATAAGAATCATAATGACTGTAATGATAGTAATAGAATTATTAATATTTTTATAGTTGGATTTATATCCACACTAAAGAACCCCCTGTGGAAAGGGAAGAAATAACCATAAATTTGTCCTCTTTAGTGAGAAGGAAGAATCAATACTAGGGAGATAGGTCTGTGAGACTTACCTGCTCCTTACTCCTGCACCAAATAAGCATCCATGTATGAAAAATGCAGCTATACTGTGAGACTTACTGTTGGCCCTGAATGCAATAAAAAAAAATAAACTAATTTTCCATGGTGGATATAATTTACTTATAGTCAAATTTTCATATGAGTCTAAAATCTAAAGTTTGAATTTAGTTTAAGATATTTTTGTTTAAAAGATTTTAAATTTTTTCTTTCTATTTTTCCATGATTGAAGAGGGATGATGTGCCCGTTGGGAGAGGTTTAAGTACTGGGGGTGAAACGTGTCATGCTTGTCACAGAGAAATGAAATTTGAATCCTGTGTTAATTGTATTTTTTTGCAAGAAGACTCCTCAAGGATTTTAGGGCACATTTGGTTATGGTTATGCACACCATTTGGCATCATTTATATACCAGTTTGCTGTGCTACTTTGGGTGGTGGTACATGTTTGGGGAGTCTTCTTTTAATACCTCACCTACTCCACGAGGTTTGAATGATTTTTCAAATTTTTGTTGCCTTTTTTTTTTTAATGATTAAATCCCTTTTTTTGCCAGGAGTACCTGAGATTCAGTGATAGGCACATTGGTGTTTGTGACATGTTTGTGGATTTTGTTGATGTTGTTTGCTTGGATTTGTGGCTTTGTTTTTTGTTGTTGTTGTTTGGAGTTTTGGGGTTTTTTTTGTTTTGTTTAGGAGTTTTTTTAGAGTGTTTTTTTGGTTAATATTTGTTTTAATGTCTCTTAAGAAACAATACTTCACCTGAGGTCCTAGAGGAACTTTCAATGAACTTTCTGAGAGCCTCTAATGTGCATTATCAGTTTCCTGTCTTCTTTTCATGATAGATGTCAGAATAGAAGTAAATGCCAGCAATCTTGCAGAAGGATTATATGGAACATTACTGCAGAAACCAATAAGACATTTATAAGTTAAAACATTAAAAAATGTTGGTTATTAAAAGTCATGAAGTTCAGCTTCTGCTTCCCCCTATCTGCACTGTCAGTGCACTGCACTAGATGTGCCTGTCTGGATATCACATTGAAAAAGGAAGGGAAAAAATGAAATATTGAAGAGGAAAGTCAGAAGGGCGTGTTAAGTTGAGGTGATCTTCTCAGGATTTTTTTTAGGAGAGTAACAGTCTTTAATTCTTTGTGGGCCCAGCTCCAGTAATCTATTCTGCATTTATTTGAGTAACCTACAGAGCAGTCTGTTGGCATAGTTCATAGACAGTATTGATGAGGCTGCTGAGGCATACCCTGGTTGCACATGTGTTTGTCTCCAGATACCAGAAGCAATAAGAAGCCTCAATAATTAGTCCATGTCAAAATCAACTCTCCCAGTGTTGTAATTTCACAAAGGTATTAAATACATTACTTGCACAGATTTTTATTGGTTTCCATTTCCAGTGTTCTTTAGAATCACTACTAGTCTATTTTGCTGTGTCATAAATTTTGAAATTTAATATCAAGAACAAATAGTTGATGGCTCTTTGTCTTCTTGTATTAGATGACTACTGCAGAGCTTACAATGTGTAATGTTTGTGAGGACATAGCTGCGTTCTTTGAGCTGACACCAGCTGC